GTTTATATTTTAAAGGCTTGTACTTGTGCTGAGGAACCTCTGCTCGAGAGGGAATTTTAAATATGGCCACTCATTCAAAATGACAGCCATTTTTTCTTAAAAAGTGTAATCTTTGACTCTCAAATTCAAGTAATCAAATAACTGAAATACCAGTAGGTTTGGTTCAAATTTTATATTTTATAATAGGATTTATTTGTACTGATGCCATTTTACATCCAACAATTACTAGCTTCAAGTGAAGTAAAAATAGTAATAATATAAAGAAAAGAAAACTACATTCTTCAAATTACATAATGATTAAATGATATAAGGATCCTATCTCTTCCAATCATTATCATATAAAATATATATACTGGTATATATATTTTATAATGTCAACCGTTTCTTTTAATATGTTCCCCTCACTCGTCAATAGAAAAATTGTCTTTTGGTGGTCATTCAATCATGTTTTTTTTATATTAGTGCACAGGTTTTCAAGTTTTTTAAAGGGAGATTGTCTGATAGCCTCCAATTGTTTACATTTGAATAAAAAGTATGTGTTTCATCTTCTATAACAGAGTCCTTACATGTTTTACAAAATCGAATATTTAGAGCAGTAATAGGTCTCGTATATCTACCTCTCTCTATCTCAAGATTGTGGGCGCATGCTAGCTGATGCCTTGGGACACAGGAGATCTGCTCGAGAAGGGATTTTCAAGATGGCAGCTGAATTTCAAAGTGGCCACAAATTTTTGTAAAATAACGTAATCTTTGATTACATACTCAAATACTAGATATAGTGGACGGTTTTGGTTCAAATTTGATGCTTAGAGATAAAAGAGCCGAGCGCTCAAGAAGAAATTTTCAAGATGGCAGCTGAATAAAAAATTGGCTGTCAATTTTTGTAAAAAACATAATCTCTGACAACTCAAAGACCACGGTGGACTTTGGTTCAAATGGTATATGCTGATACCCAGGGACAAAGGAGCTCTGTTCAAGAAGAGATTTTCAACCTGGCGACTGTTTATCCAATTATCAAAACATGTTTTGTTCGATGGAATTTGCCTGTTTCGATTGTTTTTTCCAAATGTTGAGCTAAAATGTGATTTCTCGTTTCGAAAAGTAAGGTAAATATGTCTATTTAGTCATTCTTATAAGAACAAAAAATATTATAATATCCTAACGTCATTAACAATGGCGAAGATGAAGTTATAATAACATCACTTTACTTTGCCGCTGCTAATGGCCTGTGGGTAAATGGCGGTCATTTTTCGGAATTACAAACAAATATGAGTGGAAAGAGAGCTATGGGCTAGTGAAAAGTGAATCTAAATGTATTTCTATACTAAATCAGAGAGAATAATGCAACGAATTCATTTCTTTCGAAATTTACAGAACGACCAATTGAAATACGATATGAACAAGCAAGATGTCATTTTCCGCAGGGGTAATGGCCAATCGTGCCATGGATATGTCATTTGACAGGATATCCCACACAGTGATTAGATTTACCTACTTTGCACTGCTTAGTTCATTACATCAAATAGATTTATTTCCATATCATGACATTTAGCATCTTTTTTACGCCCCACCCATTTTATTGTATTCCCCTCGGATGACTTCAAATGATATAATAAAGTTTAATGCTTTCTTGGATATATTTCACTTACCCTCACTCACGATTCCATTCCTTTCATTTGGCCTATGTTTGATAGATAACTCAGATAACTTGTATCAAAAAACAGATCTTTGTATATTGTATATTTATTTTATTTAAGTGTCGTGGTTAATAAATAGTACACTATATAAAAATTTCGTAAAATAACAATAACCCAGGCCGCCATCGACCTAGTATAAGACACTGGCATGTGAAAATTCAATAAATAGCTAGTCATTAATTGAAAATCTGTAAAATTATCTAAAAATAACCAATTCTCTTAATTTTAACATCTGGCCACAGGCTCTAGCAACGTGTAGGTAGATGCGTGAATCACTCATAAGTTTTTTAAATAAATCTTTCATTCTCATAAGGATATAAATTAGAAAATAGTTGAACAGTCGGACGCCACCAGGAATCCAGAGATAGACCCAGAGTAAACTAAATTCATAAATAAAATGTTGGGAATAGACGAATTCCGCTTAATGACATTTATATATATTCAGAAGATAAATTTTATTGAAATGATGAAACCGGACATTTTTATTCATGCGACATCTAACTTTCACATGATTTCACATTATTATTTATCATAGTCCCCCTTTATCTATCACAGTCAACAGCCTGCATTCCGTAGCCAGGTCGACCCCCCCCCCCCCCCCACCAACACCCAGTGCCCAGTTATGCCAGTTTTTTACATTCTAAATTGCCCAGTTCATGTGGGGAAAAGCAGATGTTCCTCCAAGAAACCAAAAAGGTAGGTCCTCACTTTTTGGGAGATATCGGGGGGGGGGGGCTCGCACGCACGTCCCCAACAGTTGACGTGGTCCAAGTATACCTCTCACAACACAAAATATCATTGTATCATCAAACGATGAAGTTCTTTTGTTTACTCTGCCGCACCAAATATTTAGATGGGGCTGATTAACATTTCCGAAGTTTCATAAAATCACACAGAAACTGTCTGGCTTCCAAGATGCAAAAATAATTTGTACATGTATATATAGCATATCTTGAACACCATTTTTTATGAATGCTGGGGACAATTTCAAAATATATCGGTCGGGGATAGGTTTAGCGCATACTGAGTCGCTATAGAATGAATTACGTACACCATTTTCACAATTTCGAATTCACATATATGAGTATATTTGAAGTCCCAAGAGTTTTATAAATATCCCAACTTTAAATTTAAAAATAACCGTTACCTCCGCATCAAACGCCCATTTCTACCGCATCAAATGTTTCCCACAGGCTCCGACGCGGGATTAGGATAACCCTTCCTAAATACTTTACTTCCAATGTGGTTATAGACCACGAGATAGCTCCATATCTTCTCTCTAAACCAAAAATGTTTTTGCATAGAACACCAATTAAAATAAAAAAGATATGACCACTTTTATTGACCATTTGCATTCGTTCGACTTCGCTTCTTAAAAGGGGTTTCGTCTATCTTCTATTCGAATTTTAAAATTTTTTCAATAGATTTCAAACTAAAGTAAGACCACCACCACAAAAACTCAAGTATTTGGAAGTAAAAATGTTACTATTTAGGCATAATTCAGTCTCCTTTTTGAAGATTTGTTCTTCAATTTGAAACAAGTTAAAACGTGTCCTTGAAAACTTTTGAAAAACTACCTTTTAATTTTTGAACTCTAAGGTGCAACAGATTTCTAAAAGATAGTTAATTGCTAATATGTGTATAACCTTAAAAAGAATGTTTACGTTCAGTCCAAAATACCCTCAAACTTGGATAATATGTGTGACCTAGTTTGATGGCATTGGCATTTGACACTGGAGAGGTTAAGCTACCGTATAAAATCCAAAACGCAACTTAAACGTATCAATCGGCCCTATACAAATACATGTAGAGTTCACACATAAATAGCCGTTCAGCTCTAGTGTTTGTTTAGACTACACCATAGCTTGTAATGATTACATAGTATCCCATTGATGAAGTTCAATAGCTGGTTTTCTAATACATATTTTAAACGAGCTCGTTTCGTAAGATTATTGGAGTTAAATCATGCGTAACATACATCATCTTCTTCAGAAAGAATTATACTTTGCATCGAAATCAAAATTCCAAGGATAGTATTCAACAGACATGAGTATAATGATTCCCGTTGATAGCAACGTGAAAATTTAAAATCTCCCGTTCTAAACACGCAACTTTGAAGTTGAACGGGTATCTGAAGTAAACTAAAGCGATACAATCCTATGTTGATTCAATGTACTTTGCGTTTACGTATACGTTTTGAAAAACCGTATTTGCTTAACCTCTCCACTGACGGGACTCCTAACTATAACATTGTTACCCTTTGTATTCGTTCGACTTCATATGTTCACTTTGTCCTTGTTTATAACTAGACTCTGCGCACAGGGTATAACATTGTCTGACAATATGTGTAAATAGAATGAATTTAAAGATGTCGCATGCAGTATATAGATAACGTGGATTAATAGTCGTAGGCAAGTTCATTTCATCGGCATTATGTTTCTAAAGTACGTTTAAATATAAAGATGTCACTCAAAGCTCAGTGGCTAAATCGTATTAACTAATTCATGATGAATACTTATTCAATGACTTAAACGTATATATCACTTTCACTTTTTAACCCTGTGAAGCCAGCCATTCCAGTTAAACTTTCTTTTCTGAAAATATCGAAATAAGTTTCAAATTGAAAAAAAGAATTAGAGTTATTAGCCCTTTAAACAGTGATCATTTACAAATACGATTCCCTATGTTTTTTCTCATTCAATTCGATTCATATCACCTAAAACTGATGTTGTTGAATAGTGTATATTCAAATACGATATATTAAATAAAATAAATTTCAATAATCATACCAATCTTTTTGTTATTTTATCATAATTACGTTAGGGTAGTCTTCTAAATAACAACTAGATATTGCAGTGTTGTGCGATGTTATTGAAACAAATTCTTTGAGCTGTGGGTATATACCATTCATTTGTTTTCTTATTCATGGAGCACGATTCATGAATTGTGTGTTTTTCAAACATCTTATTTTGTGATCGCTGCACCTGGTCCTACTAACGTAGAACGGGCTATTTAGACTTTGGACTAATAACTTTATAATAATCACATCTGATTGTGAGTCCCAACACTCAATTATCACTGGCTCTTTATGGGAAATACTTAATGAAATGCATCGTACGTGACTATTTCCAAATTGGTACACTATTTAAACTTTTATTAAATCGCTTTTCATCTGCAGAAATTATTTTTCTAATTTAAGCGTTCCCTTTTTCGTGCGAATGTGAACTCGTCCAAATTTCATTGATGAATCTTTTAGTGGACGAGTTGATTATATCGCAGGGGTATGGGATATCCCAGGTTGGTCTTATCGCCGCAGTGTTTGCCTATAGGTTAAAGTAGTAGAAGCCAGAATAGAACCAAGTACACAGAAGGAAGTGCAGTAATAAACCGATTATTTTTTATTAATTGATGACGTTCGAGAATCAATTTCGTCACATATAAGCACAGGATTTAAACCTTTCAGCAGTTAGCTGCTGTCAGATTGAATTGAATACACCGTTTTGGATTATAAAGCTAAGAAGAAATTTAGTTGATTCTTGAGGACGCAAACATTGGATAAAAATATAATTTATTACAAAATTCGCCTAAAATGACAACGTCATATTAGTCAAAACAAGTGAAACATTACAATGGGAAAGTTTAAAGTTATGGGTTTAATCACCCTAGTAGGGATTATTTGCTGGGCTACTCCGTGCGTCGGACTGTGTCCAAAGGAATGTATATGTCAGGGAAATTCTGTTGATTGCAGCTTTAGAGGGTTAAAAATGGTCCCCAGAGACATTACTAAAACTACAGAAAGATTGTAAGTTATTCCCTGTATTTAAATTTTTAAATATCGAAAGTGTCATTTTCCTATCTTCATCAGGTTTTTCTTTAACTTTAATTTTGTTTTCCAAATGGCAATCATATCTCAAAATAAATTCATTACGTGACTATTTGCGCAAAATATGTTGCAAAATATTATTCTTAATATTGTTGCACCTTGATGTTGCACTCTTGATAGTTTAATCATACATTGACATCCAACTACCTGAATACAACTCTATGACACAGGGTCCCGGCGGAACCTGCATTAATCAGAGAACGTTGTTATCTGTTATCGTCTGCGACAATTCAAGTCCACGAGTCTCACATTGATTATCAAAATCAATAAGTGTGACTAATGAATTCATTTGTGGCTGTAACAATAGGTAGACCTGGGATGAAGGTAGCTTCATTAATATGTGTGTGCTTCACTATTACTGTTACTCATTCGCAGATTCCTCGGCTTCAATCTCCTTCCATAGTGTTACATCTTAAAAGAATTTCTGCTTGAAATCGCCACAATATTTACTATAGGCTACACTTCTGGGTATACACCCTCCGTAGGCCTAATAGAGTATGAATATATAGTTTAATAGTCGTACGTATTTCAAAATAGGTCATTTAAAATATATGATTGGGGGAAGTATAATAGTTTTAGCAAATATCAAAATATGATTGTATATTAGAAATATGAAATTGGAGCAACGAAAACCTTGTGAAACTTGGTAGGCGAATACGACAGACTGAAATAAGAACGCGTTTGAAATTGTAAAATAAAACTTCAATTGGTTAAAAAAATTACCGCAAAAATCTAGTTGGAAAGTTGACAAAATTGTCACACAGAGCAGCACTGAGTGAGTAATAAAATTATTGCACAACCGGTATCATACAAACAGTCAATTATAGATCGCCACATGGGAAACTATAAAACAATGGATTTCACAAGGAGGTCCTAGACGCTCCTATTGATTTCAAATATTGTAACAATGCAATCAAATCAAATGAAACGGACGACAGTGTTACTTGTAATGTTCTGAACGATCTTAGCGTAATGTACACAAATGTATCCAATACGATGTATAACTTATTGTAAGCCCTCGTATCGGATTTCACTTCAGGGCCGACCTCTAGGTCAATAACAAAAACTATACATTTACTTATTTACCTTTGAAGTGTTCACATTGTTTTACTAAGCAGTTTAACACCCCAGTGAAAAAATTAAGATCTTAATTTAATTGCAAACCCCGATTATGTTTAAACCGATCTTTTGAACACAACGAAAATGGGATTAAAGACGAAACCCTAAAACTGCAAGGGGACACTTTGAGAAGCTTTCTCTGATGAAAAGAATGAGAAAGAACCGATAGATCAGGGGGGATACGGCAGCGTTTTAGACATTTCAAATCAACAGGGTCAACGCATGTGGGGCTGGGGTGAAGGAGTGACGACACGACCCATGCTTAAAATTCTATGGGGGCACATTAAAAGAAGAAATGAGTAGAAATCGTAAAAAATAAGGGTGAACTCGTAAATTATTTAAACAATTCAAAAAATTGGAGACCTCTTTCGTAAATTTAGACAGAAATGGCCAGGAATAAGTGGAGTGAGCAGACGACATTTTAACGTAGGACGACACACCTGTGGACACTGTAGCTGGACCCACTGTTGATTGCAATTGTCATATTCTAAAACCACTTATCACCCCAAGTGGACCAGTATTTTTGTATTGATACTTAAATGCTAAATTGATCTTTAAAGAAATTATTAATTTTGGGGAAAGAATTCAGATTTCAAAGACGTTTTGCTATTGAAACCGGGGTCAAATGAGGAATTGTATTTTGATGTAGAAGTTCCGAGGGTTACTTTTGAATTAAAGACCTGTGTCCCTGCACCATTTTACTACCAAGGAATAAGCATCACTAGTTGAATTGGTGAATAGAACTCCCAATACCAATATTGTTCTCAGAGAATTCTGATATTTCATTTTTGACTTCTCAGTGTCGGGATTGCAATTTCAGCAACCACATGATGTGATCCTTGTCAATATTATTCCCATTCCCCATATTCAGTAACCCGGATGACCAGGAAGACACAAATATCCCCGAACCTGTTGATTTTGAACCAAAATCAATTGAATTGTTATATTTCGAGTTTCAAGCACAATATAATAAACGATACGCATAGTTTCAATTTCAATTAATTATATTCCTACCGTTTGTACACAGAGGTTTACTATTGAGTTTTCACTTCAGGCTAGTGAAATTCTCGTCTTTGTACTCTATGGCCACACAAACTTTTACTATCATCCGTGATACACCAATAAACACTTATATTTGGAGATAAAATGCCGATACAACCTCCTTGTGAGAGGTGAATAGTCAGACTTCAATCAATTCAAGTAGACATACGAGGAGGTTCAAAAACTTAATTTAACTTAATTGAAGAGTCGTAAGGTTCGAGACATTCAGAACTGAATTGTTAAACTAATATAGTTAGTTAGTTATTTTATTCATACAATTCAGAATAAAAATATGAGTCAAAATAAAATCATATGCATGTGATACACAAATATTCCAACTCCAAGGTCTGTGTTAAAGATGTTTGTCATACTGTCTAAGAATTTAGACACTTTTGAACACAGAGGTTATTCAGTTAATTAATATATATATTTTCAGGGATTTGCAGGGTAATAATATCACAATCATACGCCGTGGTGATTTCAACGGTCTTAAAAGACTGAGAATTTTGTAAGTAGAAATTGATTAATTCTAATAAAATATTATTATGAAGTATTATACAGATTGGCTCAGTGAGTTTATGTTAAATTGTTTTTGTTTTCCTAGTATTCCCACCTGTGTTATTTCCCAATTGTGTTATTAATATTTTTCCAGACAACTTCTTGATAATCAGATCGAGACAATTGAAAAGGGGGCGTTCCAAGACTTAACTGCAATGGAAAGATTGTAAGTACATAACATTTTGAATTACCCTTTAAAATTAATACATCTTGATAACACAAAACTAATTAGACACACCTGTATGAAGCCTTATTGTGCAATTAAATCCATGACTAATACTTTTGAAGTATTTACAAGTTTACATTCTCCCATGTCAGAGTTTATCAAGTGTATCATTTAACTTACAAATAACTTATGTAAGTAGGAGACGGTCTTCTGAGTATTTAAAGTAGGATATGATTTGTAGATTTGTCAGAGAATGAACAATGAACATAGACCTATGATTTTATTTTGACATTACTGAGACGCCATACTAGATTTTTCAGGGTTTCCTTATACATTGATTAGTATGGAAATGTGCACTCTTCAAATGTGAATGCAATATTAGAGTAATTTGCACAAGACATTCTTCATCAGAGATACATAAACTATTGAAATCCATTAAAGGAAACCCCTCAGATTTTGTATTATGAACCCGTCCCACCATATTTAAGTTGTTGAAATCTCATTTAATATTGACCATCCCTCATATTTGTTACTGTGAAGAGAATGTTCCTTCAAGTTGCTATTCACATTAGTCTTGCGTCAAGAGTGCGGACCTGGCCCTCTACCTAAGCAACAAAGTTGTTAGAGTAGATATTCCAGGGTCTTGAAGCAAGCATACTAACAAATTGAAATCCCATTTAATATTGACCATACCTCATATTGGTTATTGTGAACTTTAAGAAAAGGAATGTACATTTATGAATGCACCATCTTAGATCCTTCATCTGATAAGTCTCAAGTTTTGACAACCAAGGCATAAAACATGATTTTATTTTTGCAGTATAGTTTTAAATGAACTCCCTATGTCTCAAATATTCTCTACTCCTACCAATTCCACTGATTTTCACTGCTAAATTTAAATGAGGTATTTCATTTTCTTCAGTTTATATTCAATTCGAAGTATGACCTTCACAGCTAAATACTCCATGTTTTGTTAACAAGTCTATTTCCTTTTCTATTTTCAATTTAGAATACTTCTCTCATGCCATTTTATCTGAAAGTAATGAACTCAAGTTTTACGCAGGTAACTTCATGATATTTTCCAGTGCATTGGAGCCCATATTCTCATTTTCCACCAAATTACTCCTCCATTGCCCCCAACCAACAAATAAAGCATACACATGTACAGTATAGGTAGTTGTGTTTTGTACACTTCATTGAAAACCTCAACATCTATTTTGTCCTGCTGTAAGTTCACAACCAAGATTCGAAGTTAATAATAAATGAACTTATAATTTGCTTGAATGAACAATGATGAGTATACAAACAAGATAGAAAAATTTAGATAAGTTTGAAATAAATAAATGTGAAGATATAATGCTTTTCACCAAAAAGAAAATGTATCATACTTTTTACATGTATGCAATGGCAATCTTACAAAGTAATGAGGTGTTCCATCATTACATCACATGATAATTAGATGTGTTTCACAAATTATGTACTTATGTTGTAAATTGGTATTAGCTAACATAAGTTCAGATATAAAGATAAGCCCCCCCCCCCTTCTCTTGAGCCTCTGGCAAAGTTTCACTTTCCCCATTGATGAGTCTCTATCATCATTCATATGATCTTTAATGTCTACTGACCTGTTTGAGAAATACCAAGTCATGCCTTAAAAAGCAAAATAGAATGGAAAAGAGAAAAATGTTCAAGGAATCTAATATACAGACATGGAGAACATAATCTTAACTTGTACAGAAATAAAATAAATTGAAACACTTTAATCAAATGATACTGAGAAATGAATGGAATCAGCTTGAGCAGACGGAGAGTTGAATTATGGGAAGGCTAATATTTGTCTGTGCCTACTGAGACACGAGGTACTGATAGGTATCTCTAAAGTGAGCACCACAGCATGACTTTCAATAACTAATATCTCAGATTTCACTATTTAAAAAACTTCAGAAGATCTAACACCTACAATGACATAAATACCATCAATAACAGTCAACTTTAGAAGCTATGGGATGAGATGGGCAGCATTTACATTACAATATTTATTCTTTCTAATATAAGTAAATATGGGGACATCCCTTTGAAAATATTCAATTTGGTAATAGATTCTGGTTTTTCTCTAAACATGTTGAATAAAGTGCTGGATTTTTTCAACTTTAATTAGGTAACTTCTTTTATTTTGAGATTCCTTTATTTTGCTTATTGTTTGGGAGAGAAAGGCATACACAATTACTGCAAGAAATCAAGGAAAGGGTTGGCAAACATAAGGTCAGATATATGAAACTTAGCTGAGAGTGAGTGAGGAAAATAATTACAGTGTTCAGTGACCATTATAACTGTTTAATAGGGTAATAATGGACTAGCTTGTGGTATACCTGAAATGACATTGGCGGCAGTCCCCTTGTCATGAGAACCACACTGTCATTATCTGTCAAATATCTTTTCAGGATCTAAAAAGGACAGAGAATTCCCATTTTTTAAAGTAAAACTGATACTTTGAAACACAGATCAAATGTTTTTAAATGTTTCTCAGGTCATCCTATGTTCACTTCAGTGGGCATTGAGATAACTGAAAAACAATAAGCTTTTTTAAATCTTACTCCAAAGATTTTTGTGGTAAAAGGGATGATTTTATCTATTGTGAAAATTCATAGAGAATTTGTGCATGAATTGATGAGACAAATATTGGAGTTGATGTTTGTGGTTCCCCCAGAAAAATCAATCTATACACCTGTATATTGGAAGAAAGGAGACCATACGGAATTGATAGAGTTCGCCTTGGGGTTGTCTGAATAACAACGTTTATCAGTCTACAGATAAAATAAAAATATAGGGTTTTCAATATTACGTGTAGTCCCATCTGGTCAATAAACGTTACTAGCATGTGTAACCATTCCGTGGTTTCGAACTCTTTTATTAAGTCTGGGCTTCATTTATTCTTAATTTATTCATTGTATTCCTTCAGTCATATGTAATACCTTGATGGATCAAGATATCAGAAACCCCCAGTTTGGATGTCTAAGGTGAGAATGGTAAAGTACAATGAAGGTGTAGTCTGTCTTGGGGTTTTCAATTTTGACCCGAAGGTGTAGTTGTCGATAGTAAATGTATTCCAGAATTCAATTAACTTCTTTGGTTGCAATTCATATATGCCCTGCTCAAATAATCCTCCATTCACTTGTATATAGAGATGTTTGTGGGGAAATTTCAAAATGGTATCAAAGGTGCATTTTCTATTGTATCTTTGACATTATAGTTGTGTATTAACCAAAGCTTTTATGTCCATCTGCTCATGTTAATTCCAAGTGATAGCCCCCTAGAATTTGAAGTGTATAATTTGTTGGCAAAACTATATAATTTAGAGAATGTACTTCACACATGTTTGCATTAGTCCTCACAAATTCCATTCTTTTTTGCTCTATTTTGCATTTTAATACATGAAGCCCATGACAATCTATCTATGGGCAGTGTGCAATGGCATATAGATCTTTAGAAAGTTAGTAAACCACATGTAAATACTCTCATTTCAAATCATGTTTGTGCTTCACAAATAAAGTCCAAGTGAAGAATTTTGAGATAAAAGTAACCATTTCATTAGCTTATTTTGAAAATACACATAAGTGTGAAACTATTCATGTAATATTTACTTAATCTTATTCAGTGTTCAGGGACACTGAAAAACACTTATACAAGATCTTAAGCAATATGACATGGGTGGTAAGGTGGAACAGAAATAAGGTGGTTCTTTCAACATATTCTCTTCTTACACTCCTTAAATGAAATTTCAAACACTTCACTTCAAGTTTCATAGAAAAAAAACTTTCTTTTTTTGTGTTCTTCAAAAGTGTGTTCATTTTTGTGTTGAACCACATCTTCTGAATCAATTTATTCATCATTGTTGGTACAAAGAAAATATGACCCATTTATTCCTTTAATATTGATATATTATAATTACTCCTTTGTAAAATATTAATATGGATTATCTCAAATTCTGGCACACAATCTTTTTATAAGCACTTTTCTTGGCTGGATTATACTGTGAAGTAGTAAGATAACATAAGAACTCTCTGACTCATTTGTACCCTAACAAGATGACCCAACAGTTGTATTTTCTTTTGCAAAATACACAATAAAGGAGTACAATTATAAGAATATAAATCAAGCTTGCATAATCGGCACACTCTATTTTGTAGAGAATATCAATTCAATCAACAAACTCTTTCAAACATATCAGGGAAATCACAAAAAACAAAGAGTCGAATATTCTGTCTGCAAGAAACATTGCATCTTCATATGTCATTCAGTAATCTTGGAGAGAGATTGATTTTTCCACATGCCACCCGTCATTTATCACACAATTTGGAATGTATTAGATCTGAAAATTAAATGCCAGTGAGAACTTGATCAAGTCTAGATAATATTAGAATCTAGTATCTCACAAACAACAATTGCCATATTCAACTTAAAGCCTCTTACTTCAAGTATAAATAGTTTAACAAAATCGAGAAACCTTTAAATGGGTTTTCTTGAAGTGAAATGATGCATTGATTCTACTTCTGTTTCAAGAATCTAGCCACAATCTTCTTGAATCAAACAATTACCACATTGGTTCGAATTATACTGGAATTGCCATACCCAAGCAGCCTAGCTATGTTTTATCTCTAATTTGGCTTATTTGTGGGACTTTTTTCTAGAAATGGAATGAAGTGTCACATGTTCTTACATTTCAATTTAGAATGTTTGTTCCATACCTATGTATTTTATTTCCTAATAACTCCACTCTTTTTCACTCAATTTCCCATTTTGAAATATGAGCTCCATGACATTTGTGTGCCAGTTTGATCATACAATGTATCATCTTTGTGTAAATAGAAAGATCTAATCCCTGGAAGTCTTTTTCTAGCACATAGAGAGCATTACCCATAGCTAGAACATTGCAACATTTGTGTTTGAAACTTCAAAATTAAATAAAAAATAGAAAAATTAACAAGGATTTTAAAATACCAACAAAAAGCCTATACTGTAAATTGTATAAAAATGTTAGAAAATCAGACATCTCATTCAAATTTTACAAAGAAATTATCTAAAATAACCATGAAAATAAGGATATTTTAAATACAGGAACCTTTTTGTGGCAGAATCGATTACCTTTTATGAAACATTCTTTGAGTAACCAACATACTAAAGGTTAGCGTAACAGAGAAACTACAAATATTGACTAGAAGGAATGGAAGGTATCAAATCCACCCCAGTGACAAATGTTTTCACACTGAGTCTTTTAAAAAACATTCCATATATAGTAATAATGTTGTTTTGTTCCTGCTGTGTTACTTAAATCAACACGTTTGGATGATAATCCTCTGAATTTCATGATACTGCCCAAGCTACATAGCAACCAATGTAAAAGATTGATAAAATATAAAAATTATAAAATCATTGACATATCAGACCGTTCTTTGTCAGAGTAAGATTCTTCATTTCGGGAAATATGCTATCCTTTTCTCTATATGATGTATTTTATATTATTATCACCTCATTACAGGGTGTGCATATGATGTATTTTATATTATTATCACCATATTACAGGGTGTGCATATGATGTATTTTATATTATTATCACCATATTACAGGGTGTGCATATGATAAATTTTATATTATTATCACCATATTACAGGGTGTGCATATGAGTATTCAAATAAGCCAAATTCATGGACTAACTAAATTCTCATGTCATCACATTTTGCAACACATGCTGAAAGAAGACTCATTATACAATGTAGGGTTAGAGTTGGCCCTTTCATGCTTTGGCTTCTGTAAATTGTCTTTCATTATAATGTAAGCATACATTGGAGAAATCACTGGAGAAATCTCTGGACATTGTTCAGTGAATCAATGTTCATGGCACACCCAGATCATGTTATTGTATCATGGTTATTGTTTAATATTATTTTCCTCTCCATTGTAGACGTTTGAACCGCAACAAACTTGCCTATATTCCTGATTTGCTGTTCGCTAACATGGGAAAGCTGTATCGACTGTAAGTACAATTTTCATTTCATGTCTGTACACACCAACATACACCTGAAAATATACAATGTAAAATTCCATTTAAAACACACCTTACTGAGTTATTGATATAATGTATTTAATACATCAAGTTTTGAATACATAGCTCTGGATACAACCCCAAAAAACATACACAAACATGTTTTAATAACTGGTGCTATCAGATTCTTAATATTTTAGGGGCAACCCTCGTATGATTAACAATTGATAAGAAAGCTACTGCAATAAGTTGAAACAATTTTACAAAGCAGGACTTATCTTAGTCATAATCTAATAGGTAGTAAGCTAGCACCCAAAAATGTATTAGTTCGTGAACAAATTGAAATTACTTGTATCTTATGTATTTTTATGTGATGCTTCAGAACATGTTTGTCTGACGCGCCATATCCGGGGCGAAAATTGTCAAAATGGGGTTTTCGACCCCAAAATGGAAAATTACAGGGGGTACTTTATCATCATTGAATAAATCATTCTGTTAGTCTTCAATCATCATAATAATTTTATGGGGAGTTGATTGGATCATGCTGAGGTAGTATGTAAAATTTCAATGCTCTGTCACTCATGGTTGTCATGGAAACCACAATTTTCGTTCAAAATATCCTTAATTTTGCAGAACCTGAACATGTACATCATGTAGAATATGGATTATTTTTTGAATCAATACATATCAGCACATTTTAGCACACTCAAAATAACCAATACAGTTCAAACATTTGTTTAAATATAAAGGATATTGCAATTTACATGATTGGTCAGTGTCAAAGAACATACAATTACATGAGTGATCAAAAGTGGGCGTCGCCCCCATAATAGTAGATGATTGCTATACTTGATAAAAACAGAGTTTAACATGACCTTTGAGATACATTTACACTGGTCTTATTTGATTATATTTTATATAAAGCATTTCTGGTAAATAATGTACATCTAAGTGTCATAGTTATTGCATGGGGGGGGGGGGTACAGAGGGGGGCTAGTAAAAGAATTGGGAGGAGGCAGAGCTAATCAGCCTTAAGTATAAATCCCATCTACATATATCTGGATTTCATGGGGTACATCTTCTGGATCTTCTTCATATTCATCTCAATATATGGGATATTACAACTTACATGATTGGTCAGTGTCAAAGAACATACAATTACACAAGTAATCAAAAGTGGGCGTCGCCCCCATACTAGAGTAGATGATTGCTATTCTCTATACAGAGTTAAACTTGACTTGAGATACATTTACACTGGACTTCTTTGATCATAACTTTATATTTTTGGGTAAATAATGTACAACTCAGTGCAATGGTTATTGCATGAGGAGGGGTGGGGTTAGTAACAGTATTGGGAGGGGGCAGAGTTAATCAGCCTTAAGTGTAAATTCTTTCTTTTGGACTTCTTCATAGAGTATTTTCTGGGTCTTCTTAGTTATCTCAATATACTGTATATAGTTATTGTATGGGAGGGGGGTAGTAACAGAATTCGGAGGGGTGGGGGAACAAGTCAGCATTAAATATCAATTTCATCTTCACAGTTCTGGATTTCATAAGATACATCTTCTGGAGTCTTTCTGATTCATCATCTGATGCTATATCAACAATCATTTGTATGAGAATACCAGTCAATACCCAATGGTGGAGTCATTCAGTTTCCATCCATGTCCATCTTCTGCTGGAATGTCAGGGTTTACAATATGGGCCATATGCATGATAAGTGCTTTGTAGTAAGCTCTTGACAAGGTGGAATACGAGTAATGTGTGACATCAAGAGGGCTGTAGTAATGGCAGACCATAAGTTGAAAATTCAAAAAATTTTGGGGAGTTTTCATGTTTTCTCATTGGATAAGAACCGATCACAAGATTAAAAATATTAAGGTGTATTTCATTGTTTCCTGCAGTTTCCAGCCTCAGCCTCGTTTTCAACTGTATATACCACGGAGTATAAAATACTTGGATACGCATGGCAACAAAACTTCGTTGTTATGACGTCACAGCTTATATTTGTAGTATGAGCATGGTTACTCATAGCAATGGTGTATCCGTTGCCATGTTCTTGATGTTTATAAACCAGTGATGTCACAAGTCAACTTGCACGTGTGACTTTTGAGGGTGAACGATGGCAATATCTTGCATTTACATCGAACTAATAGTGACTGTAGTTAGAGTGGTTATATTCAGATGAGCACATTTATATTGTATTTATGTATTAAATGGTTAAAAGAAATACACTTAATTTGTAGAACATTCAAATGAAATAATAAATCAAAAATATTCCATTCTATTTTCGGTGAATACATGTTCATCTTTCCCTCAGGTATATTTCCCTTTCCCTTCGGGCTGCGGGAATCATACTGAGGGAAAGATAAACATGTATTCACCTCAATAGAATGGAATATTTGGTATATCTTCTCAACTGACACCAGTGAGATGTACTTTATTTACCTGAAATGGTTGATATTAAGTATAATCAAAGAAATATAAATGATAAATATATCTCTATCTCGAAAATTCTACTTGAACCCTGTATTTATAGAGAATGGTAATCATCTACTATTATGAAGGTGGTGATGCCTACTTTTGATCACTTATGTAATGGTATGGTCTTTGACACCAATCATGTAAAATGTAGTACCTATATATTGAAATGAAAATGAAGAAGACCCAGAAGATTTAACATTTGAAAATCAAGAACTATATAAATGAGAATTATACAAAGGCTGATTAGCTCTGCCCCTCCAAATTCTGTTACTACCACCCCCCCCCCCACTCCCCATGCAACAACTTTTACACTTATATGTACATTATTTACCAGAAATGCATGATATTAGGTATATTCAAAGAACTTCAATATAAATGTATCTCAAAAGTCAAGTTAAACTCTGTCTTTTCAGAGAATGGTCATCATTTACAATTATGGGGGCGACGCCCACTTTTGATCACTTATGTAGTAGTATGGTCTTTGACACTTACCAATTATATAAATTGCAATATCCTTTATGCTTCAACAAATGCTTGAACTTCCCTGGCCATTTTGGGTGTGCTAAGATATTCTTATATCTGTTGATTTGAAAAATAATCCACATTCTATATTATGTACCTGTATAGATTTTGCCAAAATTAAGGATTTTTCAATGAAAATTGTGGTTTCCATGGCAACCATGAGTGACAGGTGATTGAAACTTAACATACTACCTCAGCATGATCCAATCAACTCCCCATAAAATTATTATGATGATTGAAGACCAACTGAAAGATTTATTCAATGATGATTAAGTACCCCTTGTAATTTTCCATTTTAGGGTCGAAAACGCCAATTTGACAACTTTCGCCCCGGATACGGCGCATCAGACAAACATTTTCTGAAGTATCATATAAAAATACATAAGAAACAAGTAATTTCAATTTGTTCACGAACTAATACATTTTTGGGTGCTAGCTTACTACCTATAAGTTTAACTGTGGAATTTAAGTGTACCTAGTAACATGAAATCTCCTATGACAGGGTCAATAAATGTCGTACTTAAAATATTTCAAAATCAATAATAAAATCCTGAATCCGGCATGACTCCTATGACAAAATAGAAAAATAGAGCCTGGATTTCAATATCACATGTAAATAAGTACATGTTATAATAAATATTTTTCGCCATTGTTGCAAGCCACGCCCTTTCTGTTTCCTTTTTCCATATACACAGGTTTAAAGTAGACATGCTGATACCATGAGCATTTGAGGATCCACATTGAGCTGAACCCACTGCTGATGTAACTAATACATTAGGCCCAATGGCACAGCCATGATACCACCAAGCAGGGTCATGGTATCATCGGGTCTGCTTTATATAGAAACAGAGGGCATTTGAAAGGAAATTCTGATAAAACTGACCTAGTTTTCAATATTCAACTTTAAGTTAATTGAATAACTGTCTTGTTTAGCAAATACTTTTTATCAACAAATATATGTTATCAGAATTTACTCAATTGTATAGAAAGGTCGTTAGGTTAAGGTTTGCATGTTGTGCTTCTATTAAAACACAAATATTGGTCAGAAGCATACAATTACTATACAGTTAAAACACATTCAGTTAATCATAGGCATTAAATATATTTGAACTTATGTTCAGTGAAAACTAAGTGAACAAAGGGATTCTTAGTGTGTATGTAAAATGTACAAAATGATGTGAATGCCTTTTCAGATGCTTTAAAAACTTGGGAGGAGTGTCAGAGAAAGAAAATATTTTCTCAAAAAACTTAGGAATCTGTGTATTATAAATCTATTATCTGGTTTTTGCCAATGTTATAAAGGTAATAAAGGCATGCTAGATGAGCAATAACAGCAAGTGATGGCCTCTGGCAAAATTGAACAAGGGCTTTGATAACATTAAAAGATCATTCAAAAACATATTTGCTCTACACATGTAAAATTTGTCAATTGATTAACACTATATCTGACATGGCAAAGAAATACATCTACTTCAACTTGAATATCAAGTTTGCTAGAATATCAGAGAAAAATTTCAAATGATCCTAATACTAACTATGGCTATCTCTAGTATAACTTCCATCCATCAGATTTTGAAATGTTCTCTTCTTCATAAAAACAAAACACTTACAATGAAGGAAGTCCTGATTAAAAGAGGGTCATTCAAAAAGTTCTGAAATGAATTACCTTAGCTACTGATACAGTAGTTAAGGAGTATTGTTTCATTGACACCAAGTTTAATATTTAACCAACACATACTCCAGAGGTGTGAGACATGGATACTCGGGAGTGTTTAGAAGGTTTATAAGGCACGTGAAGAGCTCTTCAATTCATGACAAACTAGAAGCATACCTATATAGATTAACTTTCAAGTGATTAGGGAAGTGAATACATATTAATCTTTAGTTATTTATAAATTAAAGACTATTTATACTACAAGCATGTGACTTAAAGACCCCTATACACATTCTAATGTAAAACAATACAAGGGGAGGGGACAATACAA